TGGGTACTGGAGGCCTGCAAACCATTGTAATATCTACATTTTCTGGCCAACCCAGGAACCCATTTTTGCTCCCTTGCGGGTGACACCTTCCTCTCTGGTTGAGAATGTGTGCTCCAGGGGATTGAGACGGGCTGATACACATGTACCTGGTGGAGACATCCTGGGCCCCATGAAAAGGGAGGCACTGGCCAGAGGCTGACCATCTGGATACAACCTCGGGCCCTGGCGGTGGGCGGGAGTGGTGGTGGGTGGAACAGAGACTTCGAGGATGGCCTGTTCATGGAGCGCCCTGCCCGGGGCTCTCACCATCATCTCGGCAGTGGGGTGAGAGCTGAGGTTCCCTCCTGGCCCTGCCGGTGGGCTCTGTGCTGACTCCCTGAGGAGCCTTGCGCATCCCTCAGGGCTGGACTGGGTGATGGGCTGACTGAGGCCCCTCCTTGTGCACTTTCTGATTCTCGCAGTTGCTGGTTAGTTTTGGATGGAAATCCGCCTTGGGCCACTCCTTCTGAGACAGAGCCTGGGGGCCCCAGCAGATGGAGGAGATGGGTGGCACCCATTTCCTGCCCTGCCAGGAGCTCAGATGCTACTGCCTGGGTAGGGGCCATTGGGTTTACCTCCAGCATTTTGTTTGCCTCCAGGCTTCGTGTTGCTCCCTGTAGGTTGAAGGGCAGAGGCCGTCACCTCAGCCAAGGGCCCTGCTGCTTCCCGGACTGACACCAAGTGTCTTCTGAGCAGAAAATCTTTCTGTAACGGACTTGACACTCCGGGACAAGGGTGTTGACGGGACAAATGAGGAAATTACTGGACCTGCAGCTCATTGAATCAGCTTCCTTTACCTGCTGCTCAGACATAACTGGGCCCCACCTGACCCTGGATCCCTGGCTGTGGGGATGGCTCCCCGCCTGAGGGCAAGGCTCCCCCTCCTGTGGACCCTGCTCCACCCAGAGCAGCCCTGGGGTTGGTGTGTGGGTGCTTCTTTCTGGCGAAATGTGGCCACATAGCTGGTGGTCCGGCCACCAAGAAACCAAGCGAGCGGGCCATGGTTGGGGGGGGCACATAGCAGAGAGAATGCCAGATGGGGAGCCGGGAGCCCCGTTCCAGCACATTCTCTGCATAGATCAGATGATGGGCTTGGGCGGGCCACTTCCCCGCTCCAGAACTTACTTTTCTTCCCTGAAGAAGGAAGGTGTGAGCTTGGAGCAGCCTTGTCTCCCTCCAGGCTCATGGATGGTGGCCATGTCGTTGGCACCAGCGGGACTAGGGCAGCTTGAACCTTAAGGTGGTCACAGGCCTCCGCCTGGCTGCCCGGTGGCCTGAGGGGTGCACCTGCCACCCCACTGTGGCTCAGTGGCTCGGAAGGCCCAGCCTCGATGACCCAAGGTCCTGCACTGATTCTTAAGGACGGGCAAGCCGCCGCCTGGCAGGAGTATATGGAGCCCCTCCCCACTTGCACACACTTACATTTGGCTGTGTGCTGCTCCGCCCCCAGCACTGTCTCTGTGTGGAAGCTCCCTTAGGCTGCACGGCCCCCGGTGGGGCCCAGGGACTCAGAGAAGGGTGCTCTTGTGTCTTCGGGGCTCGGTTGTTACTGTCCTGGAACATGTGTGTGTTCTTCACCTCTGCCCGCTCTCTCTGTGGGGGTTCTTGGAAAGTCCAGCTGGGATTCTGTTAGCCAGGAGGGCTGCCGGGACCCCCCAACACTCTCTGACGCCGAGGCCCTGGGGGAAGGGCGCGTCCTCCCCTGCCCTCTGCCCGCGTCAGAGATGGGTGCTGGGCTCGGTGACCGGGTCTGGGGTTCCTGGTGTCCAGTTAGTCCTGAGTCCACGGCCAGGAGGGGAGCAGTCTCTCTGCCCTGAACCATGGGGACAGTGTTGCTGGAGGCATCCGGGTGCCCTGCCTGGGGCCTTCTAGATGGGAAGGGAGATTTCATGGAGAAGAAGTGAGGTTTGTCCTGTTTCTATGGATTCAGACTTCCCCGGGAACCATGAAACGAGTGTTTCTGGAGGCAGCTACGTGCCCAGGAAGAGTGCGGGCTTGGAGCCAGACAGTGCTGGGTTTTGAATCCTGGCTCAACCGCTTAGGGCAGTGTGATCGTGGGCCTTGCTGGGCTTTTTTGAGCTGTAGTGTCCGTGTTTGTAAAATGAGAATGTGATGCCTGGTAATAGGGGCGGTCCAGAGGACTCCGTGAAGGTGGGCGCAGTGGTGACAGCCGTCCTCTCTGCTGAGGGTGCTCAGTAGAGGTGGGAGGCCTCCTGGGGGCTTGCCGTGGTGGAGGAGCTGAAGTTGAGAGTTCCTCTGCCCTCACACACCTGTGACCCCATGAATCCTGAATCCCAGCTGGTCCCAGCTGGGGAGGCAGGAGAGGATGGAACAAGGTGGAGAGAAGAGAGAAGGCTTCTCAGGGAGAGAAGAGATGGTTCTGGCAGAGAGAGGTTGCAGAGGGGTGAGGCGGATAGTGAACGAAGGGAAGCGCCCCATCCACCTGGGGTGAGGCCATCAAAGTAAGGATGAAGGGCAGTGGTTTCCCTCGGAAGCCGCTGGGCTCTACCTCAGGGAGAGAAGCAGCAGGCAGATGGCCTCCGCTGGGCTGTCAGTGAGCGCGTCCTCTGTGTTCCTGGGGAGGCCAGGGGCCGCCGAGACCTCCAGCATCTGATACCAGCCTTGCCGGATGCCTGGGCACGGAGCCTCGTTATGCAAACACGTCTTGTCTTCTATAGCTAGAAGGGAACTCAGAGATCA